GTCAGACCATCCATTTATAATGTATTCTCCCCTTCCTGATGTGTTCCCAATTTTAAATTTCATTCAAGCTACTAAATTCTAAGCCACACAACAAGCAACCAATCATAACTAACTGCTGTTCAGTAATTATTTCAGGATGGCGTGTATATTGACTGAATCTAAAAGCTTCGCACCGTGAAAGAGGAGCAGTTCAATATTTGTATCCTCCATCTTTATAAGTTTCTTCTTTGTGTTGATTTAATGTAAAAAGGACAGAAATAATAGAGGATGGTCAAAACATAGATGTGTTAACTTGCACGTTTAGGCATGCCGTTGAAAGTGTCCTTTAATAACTATTCCAATTTTAAGGTTAATGACGCCTTCTGTAGGCCTGTGTATTATGAAATTTTCAAAATGCAATAATATCAAAACAGCAAATGTACTGAATAAAAAAGACTTGCCATTTTGTACATATACCAAAGCAAAACGTCGTTCACATGCAGGAGTTATATTTATATTGTTTTATTGCATTTTTATAGAAAATGTGGAGTTTGTGGCTCCTTAAGTCAAGATTCTTACAGAAAATCCCCAGACTTTATTATATAGATTTTCGATAAACAACCTTTACAATCCAAAAATCCACGTGCTCAGTCACAAAAGTCGAGTGTACCCTTGAAGGTATACTTGAATTGGTCCATATTTGTACTTGTTTAACAAATATCTTTACAAAAAAAAATATTTCAGGAAAATCATTGCTAGCACTGTATGCAGTTATGCACAATCTATTGAGCACACAATTGTCAAATATAAGAGTACAAAGGGGAAAGCCTGTGGATTTTTTATAAAATGTCTATATGTTAAGCATTGAAACAACAAAAGGATACATAATCCTTAATGGAAATAAGAGTTTGCTTTAAAGCAATATGGTACTACGAAATATGTGAAAGTTAAGTTTCATTTCAATGCGACAACTTGCTGCTTTAATTTTACTTACTTTTGTAGCGAATTGCAAGTTTTCTTATTATACCCATGTAGCCATAATATTTCAGATTCTCTATGTATATTTTTCTTTCTCACACCCACTCACATAATATTTCTTTGGCTTCAAAGTTACTATGCATGATCGTCAACGACAATAAATATTCGAGCTGAAAATAAAACGCATGTAGCTATTTCTTCACCTTTGTTTTCTCCAATACGTTCAGAGAATTCAGGTAAAATTCATAGGAACATGTATAAATACTTGAGCAAATTGAAATAAAATAATACATTCCATGATTTTTTGGGGCATTGGGTTATTTGACATCTAGAAATTGACAGTGAGGGTCGGTTGAGAACAAAACAATCCCAATTGTGAACTTTCCATTTTTTTGTACCAACATTCCAGCAGCACCTGCTTAAGGAGTATAAAAAATTATCTCCCAGTTGACATGATATCACAGAGTTGCATTTCCTTAATAAAGGATTGCTGTTTATAAGGCAGCTATTAAACCAAGAGTTCCAAGTGAGTGGTGAAATAGAAATCTTCCCTTCGAAAATTTGTACTTACAAGAGCAACACGACGGGTGCCACATGTGAAGCAGGATTTGCTTACCTTTCCGGATCACCTTAGATCATCCCCGGTTTTTGGTAGGGTCCGTGTTTTTCGTTTAATCTGCCATGGCATTTGACTGTTTGCTTTTGACTTATGAGTTTGATTATCCCTTTGGTATCTTTCGCCTCTCTTTTAATACAATTTAATACTATTCCATTTGATATGTTGGGCATAAATTCAATTTTAAGCTCTTGAGACAAGAGTCGACTTTTGAAAACCCATTTTAAAGTAAAGAGAATTGGCTAAATGCAGTGTGGTTATATCCAATATGCAGCAGTAAAATTCTTAACCATAATTTACTAACCGGGTGTTGAGCGGGCGAGGAGTAATGTTTCAGTTTTATTGTTTATGTTTCAAATGTGTGATTCTTGATTTTGTCTGCGGTATGCTAAAAACTATTGTTTTAGTTTTCAGTGTATTTTTTAATTTTTATCTGCGGAACCATCTAGAAAAAAATGGATGTGGCATAATTTTCATTATTATCAGGGTAATTTCATTCATTAACATTAATGTCCAGGGGAAAACATGTATTTACAATGTTTAAAGTTTGGAAGGTACAATGCTTGTTTTAACTCTTTATGAATTGCAGTCTTATTTTCAATGTTTCGATTTTGCAATGCTCTGATTGCAAAAACGTTTATATAATTCAATTCACAAAAGCATATGGAATGGGACAAGAACAACAGATTTTTATTTGGCGATGTATTTGTTTCTCAAACAACAAAAGTATGCAAATTGAAATGTAGCAGTTTTGTATGGTTAATTTAAACTTTCTATAATATTTCATTACCGAGAAATAATTATTTGCATGTATACACTTGCAAATTATGAAAATAAAAATCATGCATGTACTGTAGCTATTCAATTCGCAGTTCAAATTTTGAAAATGGACTCCGCGCAGTGAAGTTACTGTAGTTAATTAGATCAGTATACACAGTATGTATGCAATGTGTTGCGTGTTCAGAGCAACTTGTATGCAATTATCGGTATCCCATCTATATACAAATAAATGTAAATCAAGAAAATAAAAAACCTTGATGAAATTAAAGAGAGGTCTTAAATCTCATAACTAAATTGATTCAATTTTGTGCATGAACGCAACCGTAAAAACTAACAATAAAGTTACTTATCTCACCGACTTAAAACCTGTGATCTTTTTTCCACAAAGGACTTTTCCATAGGTTTATCATATGATCTAGAAGCTTCTAGACATAATATAATATGTTAAATAAATTGCATCATGTCCGGTGTCTTATGCCTGCAGATACTCTAAACAGTTAAAATATACTGGTTGTACATGTACTAGATAGCCTTTATGAATGTTTATGTATCGCCATTTTATAGTAGCCTTTGGATCGTCCAACATCCTCAGTGTTGTATGATATTTTTCATTTGTAGCGAGCTCGAATGAATTATACCGGATGAAAATGTTTTAACATTCGTTACTTTACATCCTTTTATTAATCAGGTAGATTTGTTTTTACACATATCTGAAATTCCCCCATCATTTCACATTCCGAGGTCCGATTTTGATGAAATTTTTAAAGTTAAACTCGTAAATGTTAACAGTTTTTATGGTTAATATGAACTATTTCTATGTCATGTCAATCATTACCAAGAAATCATTATTTTATATACAATATCTGATAAATAGCCATATGATTTTTGCGTAGACATTCATATTTCTTTTTAAACAGTGATTTCCCTAAAAATATGAATTGTTAAATATTTCATAATTAATGCAAGAAACTGCAGACATTTCTGTATTTAATTTTAAAAAATCTTTTAATTTGTACAAGAAAAATCTTCAGTCGAATTTTATTTAAATGTGTTTGTATATGAAATAATAGGGGGATTTCTTATAGGTGAAACACTTATTACTTAAGACTGAAAACCTATACTCCTTTAAATTATGTTCTTTTAGGACTTTCTCACAAGTCCATTATTAGTATTCTCAGCTATTGTATGTATATGCCTTGTTTAGTTAATGTTTTAATTGTTGTTTTTATGCTTTTTTTTCTGGTGGATATTACATCTCCTTTTTTTTAACCATTTGTTTTCGTCGAAATTTCAAGTAGAATTGGGAATAAAGTTTAGTATAATAATAAATGATCTAAAAATGTACAGAAAGGAAATAAATCGAACTGTTTATATATAAATATATATAAAGAAATATTTTGCCCTATTTGAAATTTAGTAATAAATAATATTTCTTATTATAATGCAACATAAATATAGATAAAAAAAAAATTAATCCGTTTGGAATAATTTCTGGAAAACATACGTGTGTTTTTGGGGGTTTTTTTAAATAAAGGATGTTAATAAAAATTGTCCTACATTACACAAATAAGATGTGTGTGACAACTATCCACCAGAGACTGACTGAATGACGTGTATTCGTGATAATTTTCTTTAAAGCAAGAAAGTCATATAGAGTATACCTATTACATATTGAAATTGAAAAAATATTTGAAATCTGCAGTGTTTAGCTCATTGTTTGTTTTTCTCTTTTGCCAAGTTTAGGGTGTTGTTTTATAAGTTCTTTACTTGTAACAGAAACGTACAATAAAATATAAATGCTGATTTTTGTTTTTAAATTACACGATGAAATATTTTAGAGCATAAAAATCGTTTACATAGGTGTAACAGTTTGGTTTTAATAAAAATGCAAATATGTGGGGGATTATCTAAGATGGAAAACAGATGTACATGTTGTGTGGTCAAATATGTAAATATACAGGAGGAAATAATATCCCATGCATGAACAAACTCATTCTAAATAAATACTACAGAAGTATTTCTTGCATTTTTGTTCAGTTATCTTATTTAATTTTTGGTTGTGTTTATTTTGTCTTGTTTCTCTTTGATAATATAATATCGCACGCCACTATATTACAGTATTTTTTGTTATTTTGTAGGAAGAAAAACAGTTACATGATTACTTCTACATTTTCTAAGTTTCTTAATCTTATTATTGTGTGAATATTATATAAATTTTCCGTCTGGCTCATCAATATTTATAATCCGATAGTAATCTTTCTTGTCAATTCCTTCGATGTTAATTATAATTTAAAATATATGTGAACCTCGTTGTTACTTTTCTGAGTATGCAAAACAAACTATAGAGTTTTAGAAAAAAATATCTGAATTAATAGGAAATAATGTAGTTAATAAATTTGTCAATAATCAGTTTTGTGTTATGTGTGGTTCTGCAATTTGTTGCTTAATCATGATTTTTTTATTCATTTTTATTTGTTTTCTCGTTCGTGTAAATCATGTTAAATCAAACGAAGTAGAGTTGTTGTGTTAAGTTTTGTGTTGTGTAGAGAAAAAATGTAGTAAGCGTAATAAATGATTCTCTTTTAAATATTCAGTACAGTATTTGATATGATCTACGGTCCATATTTTTAGATAGAGACAAAATATGCAAATTTTTCATAAATTTTAATGTCAAAATATTTATGACATATTATAAATTATAAATCCATTCATTCTAACAATAATAATTCACTCATAATTTTCCCAATTATATTGGCACATAATTTAAAGTTTTACAGCACTATATAAAACCTACAGGTTTTGAACCCTGGGATTTCAACTACATTTCAAAAGTTAGTAATATAGAAATTTACGGAACCGAGGCCGCTCCAAGTCGTTGGCTATATAATGCATACGGAGGGTAATATGCTCCTAGAGGAGGGAGAGCCTGTCCAGAAGGATATGATGGAGAGGTTAACGAGGTTTTATATGGATGGTAACGATTAGCACTCAATAGTCCAGGACTTGCACTTGTTGGGTATGATCGTCTCAAAGAATTTGGACTTAATCCACCACTTGCATTTAAAGCTTGTAAATGATATGCACTATTTAGTCCAAGTCCAAAATTTGAAGCAACAGCATCAGCAGATGTCGTATGTGTTCGTAAATGTTGTAATAGTTCCTCTGATGTTGTAAAACGTTTTCCACAGAATTCATTTCCTGCAGACACCCAGTTACAAACAATAGGAAGTCCTTGGTGGGCGCTGAGTGCACTATGTGGATAGAGTGATGACAAAGCAGCAGCTTGTCCAAAGGAATGAAATCCTGGAGGTAACGATGTAGGCATCATTCCTGGAAATCCTAATGAAGTTAGATTTTGAAGAGATTTTTCGTGAGCACACTGAGCACAACCAGGGGCATTACACGTTGACGACAAATGTGAATTTTGTACAGTTAATTGGCAATTAGTACAATACGGGTCCCTGCATACAGGAACAAGAGTTGTCGCGCCCGACGGCGTCCTCACGCGAGTATAAGAGACATATGGAGACAAGGCAGCTGCTGCAGCAGCTTGTTGTTGTTTCATAGCAGAGTTCTGTGCAGCAACCATTGCTGCAGCACTAGCAGATCCTAATCCTAAGCCAGCATGAGCAGCTAAGGAAGCAGAATATCCATGCAATGCGGCTTGATCCATAGCACTTCCGGGAGGCAAGAAAGGAAATCCAGGATATGATGAGGGGTAAGTATTAAGTCCATGGAAACTTGATATTGATGGAGTCATTTGTTGTTTTAAACTAGTTGAACATGATGTAGATAGTTCTGGTGATAGACGAGACATTGTTCTGTGGTTTAAATCCGATTTTGATTCTCCGTCCCTGCTAGAACATCGTTTTGATTTTTGATTGTTTGGTGATGTAGAAGACACTGATAGAGATGTGATGGAATGAGAGATGGTTGAGCTGCTGGTTTCGGATTCAGATGATCGTACAGGAGATGAACTTGATGGTGTTTTTGATTTTTCACTTGACTGTCCTGGCGAAGATGGAATCAACGCTGGAATGTCAACTTTATTTGAAACTGTTCTAAATCCAGGTTTATCTGAGGTGTCAATAACTGGAGATTTCACAACACGACTGCTACCATTATTGTTTGACCCTGGTCTTTTTACTTCCGGGCTTGATGATTTATCTTTCTCGGTGTCTTTCTTACTGATTGATGGGATTATACTTTTAGACGGGGAGACGTCTTTGCCAATGCTGCTACATGTCTGAGCTAGTAGAGCAAGTGGGCTTTTCTTTGCATCCAACTGTGAATAAATATTAAAATATATTTTATCTCCTTGCTTTAATTAAATTTTAAATCCCATGTAAAACGATATTTTTCCTTTTTTTTATATTGTTTCATTATATAGAAAAGGTAACAATTAATTTCATTCCTTTCTTATTCTTAATCATCAATGTAGAAATTTATTAAAAGGGCAAATTTCATATAAACCTTTTCATTAAGAGAGACAGGAAGACAACAAACGATATAAAAATTATTGCATGATTAGTTTACAAGTGCGTTTTATGTATGTCATGACACGTACAACATTTGTATTTTCTTGGGTATTTTTCGTGTTATTTCAAACATATTAATATTATTAAAGACGGATATTTATGAAAAAAGTCTTACCGTTGTTGGAAGAGGTTGTAGGTACTCCGGATGAAGGTACTGAGACGACGAAGTCAACATATTTTCCGTAAATAAATACATAAAAGTTTTCTATTCCATATAAAATTTCAAAATTTTGTTCTTTTCACTAAGCCTGCCAATCACAGTATGAATGTTCTATAGCGTTACCTCGACTTCACATACCGCCCAACGCAACAACAAAATGTCTGACAGCTCTTGTTTGTAAATTAATCGGAGATGAAAGAACTTTACCGCCTTCCAATGAAATAATAAATTATCACCGATAACCCACTGTGATTGGTTGAATTACTCTACATGACGTCATGCGTGATAAGATAATACGATGATTAATGGCTCTGAATCCCCTCGGCCAATCAACGTCAAGTTTATTAATTCTTGTCGAAGAAGCCGAGGGGAACCATTATGACGGCTTATCAATCAAGTTGATGGTTTAACTGTCAAATTTGAGTGATTTATATCATTCCGGCCTGTTAATACATATAACATCCCGAAGAAATAACTAGGCGACAAATAAATAACTCAAGTAGTAGTACTTAAATTACAATGCTGGTGTTTGCTTTAACACAATTCTTCTTAAGATAATTCACCAGAGTTGTATCCGGGCCTTTTCATACTTTACCTTTAAAAAGCTTTAGTTAAATATCTTAGTTTAAAATTTTCTGAGGTTTGGAAAGAATGGTATTTTGTGTGACATTAATGATTTCGAACGACCTTGCGGCGCAGATCAAAGCCAAGAGCCATATATTCACTGTGTTATCAATCAATCTTTTACAAGTAGGGTGTTTCTTAACAGATTGAAATTGGCGTGTTGAAAGACTGGCTATCTCTGAAATGACAATTTATACTGTTTACGAGTTACTTCAAAAGAAAATGATATAGATACTAATCTAACACAATGAACATTCCTTCTAAGTGAGTGTTTGAGAGACAAGTGAAATCGCTGCTTTGTCAAACATAAGGTTCTAGGGGCGCCAATTTTCTACTCCAATAAAAATCATTATTGTTGGGTTTGATTATGTCCTGGATTAGAGTTGATAAATGATAGATGTGTATTTGTGGGCCAATTTGGTGGTCCAACCGCGAGGGTCCAACATCCGGTCAAAACATCTATGAAGCGCACCTTCTTAGTTTTACAGATGGAGAGGGTTCCACGTACGTGTCATCCATTGCGTCCGTCACGTTTTTGTTTATGTTTTCCATATTAACTCGGAACGCAAATGACCACTGCATTGTTTGTATTTTCTGTAAATGATTATACCAGTATACAGGTACAATCGTGTCTCACACCTATACTAGTATACAGGTACAATCGTGTCTCACACCTTTACCATTCTGAATATAAATTACTTTTGCTGAAATTAATTATGACTCATCAAAGAATGAATTGTATATTTTAATGGAATGCGGATAAATGTTTTAAAAGTTGACATGTAATCAAAAAATAGTAGCATGTTATTATTTTTGAATGTAAATGTTTATGTATGATTTGCTCATGGTCACATCACAAAATGACAAATTTGTCGTATAAATGGCGGCAAGTGAAATAATGTCGATCAAACTGACAAGGAAAAATGTTATATGATCATGGAAGTTGTCAACTAAAGCGACACCTGTCAGGATTGATGGACTTTTAGACATGCTGTACCGGTTGAAATAGCTTATATTTATTAATAACTAATTGATGGGCAATGTTTTGAGTGTATTGTTTATGAGACATCTCATAATTCATAAATTTCCGCCTCGTATAAAATAGGCTATAAAATATCACTTTCTCACTGGGAAGGTATACACATGTACTTCATTTCCAGTTTCTTATATACTCATCCCCCTATATCAATATATTTTAAACGGAGCTGATAAAAATATAAACAGAAAATACATGTTTTTGCGTTTTCGAGGGAAAAGGGAATTATGTCAGCCAAGAGATTCTTGTCCTGTTTGGAAAGTTGTTTCCAAAGAAAGCATGAATGACTTGAAGAGGGGACATGCAGACTTTGAAATATTCATTCACTGTAACTCTTGGAACAACTCTTTGATGGATCTTCCTGACATGAATAGTGTCAATTACAATAAGTAAAGACAATAGATATAGGAAGATGTGGTATGAGTGCCAATAAGACAACTCTCCATCCAAGTAACAATTTATAAAAGTAAACCATTATAGGTCAAGGTACGGCCTTCAACACGTATAAAATAGGTTATAAAATATCACTTTCTCACTGGGAAGGTATACACATGTACTTCATTTCCAGTTTCTTATATACTCATCCCCCTATATCAATATATTTTAAACGGAGCTGATAAAAATATAAACAGAAAAAACATGTTTTTGCGGTTCCGAGGGAAAAGGGAATGATGTCAGCCAAGAGATTCCTGTCCTGTTTGGAAAGTTGTTTCCAAAGAAAGCATGAATGAAAGAGGGGACATGCAGACTTTGAAATATTCATCCACTGTAACTCTTGGAACAACTCTTTGAGGGATCTTCCTGACATGAATAGTGTCAATTATAATGTATATAAATCCCTGGTAAACAGAGTAACAGGCTATTTTCTTAAATTTCATATTTGGTCTGACGAAATACTGCTTTTTGTTAGTAAAAAAAATGTTTCCTTTTATTTCTGTTTAACAGAATGACCAAATTGAGTGTGGCATAAAATGTCAGGATTGTGAGCTTAATTAATTTTGTGTGAAAGCTGTTCAGATATTATTTCTAAAGAAAATAAAACTATTCGTTTGATTTTCTGTAGTTGAACCCTATTTGAGAATTGATAGAATAGCTATAGTTATTTGGAAATGAAAAGCTATGTAACAACCAATGCAAACATTGTTTTTTAATTGAAATTTGCCAAAAGTGCATAAAATTCTAAACATTATATACAAAGTGTTATAAAATTTATATTTGCCGGTTAACACAGGAAATATAGATGTTAACCCAAATATACAACAAACACAGGCAATATAGATATACAACAAAATAAACAATACATCACAAGTAACCAATACTAATAATAAGTAGGAAAAATAAATAAAACGAATTGTTTTGCTAACTGGTATGTGTAGAACTTTATCGTACAATTCACGACGACTTTTATCATTTAAAATGAAGCCTTTATTATTTTTTTGTTTTGTCAAGTTTATCATGAAAAAAATATACTATTATCCAGGTATGTGACATTTAAAACCTCAAAAAATGAAATATTAAATTGCTCAATATTATAGAAAAATGTCGGGTGAAGATCAAAGCAATAAACTAATTTTAGATTCGTCATGAACAAAATCGTAAAATACTTGGAAATAATGATAAAAATTTTATTACAAATTTATCAACAGATTCGATCAAATTATTGGTGATTGAAGCTGTAAAAATGACAAATGCTATAGTGAAATGTACATATTCCAGATTGAATCGAACGATTAGATCAATGCCCACAAGACAAAAGTGACGGATTTTTGTCACAATAAAATAAATGTCCATAAGATAAAAGTCGGATCCTTAGGACAAAACAATTACTTCCTAATGTTCTACATTTAAAATCAAAATTTATCAGTACATTTCGATAATTCATTTCAGATATGTAGATATGTAATGTCCTATTCAGCAGAAGTTATTACAACATGTGGGTTGTCCTTAGAACATGTCAGCTACATTCTATGATAATTTCAATCCGACAGGATTTGTGATCATTAAATAAAATAGCTATGGACAAATGTCTAAAATCTGAATGACGTATCTCTAAGCGACCATTCTTAATTAGCTGTTGGTTCTAAATGCAGAATATTTTACCAAATCCCCTCTCTGGTTTTAGGTGGGAAAAAACGAAGAACTTATCATAAAATTCAATATAAATTTTTGTTTTCTTCTTCAAATGAATACATACAAAATGAAACAAGAAGAAGGACGACTTATTTATAATATTAAATATTTCTCATAGTTACTGTTTATATTAGACGATAAACAAAATTCTAGACAAAAAGAATAAAATAAATTAATCATTCCACCAATTAATGGAAGAGTTGGAAGGACAAATTAATAATAAATAGATACAAATACAAATATCTTCATTCCGAATAGAGAAATTAAAGGATTACTCCTTAGTTTTTATTTTATTGTTAGACAACAAAATAATTAATCATGAAAATTCTTAGAACTTTTACTAGACAAAGAAAAATATTATTTATTTCATTTTAAATGATTCACCAGGAATTATGATAAATAAAACATTACGTACAGTGTTACAAACAATAAATCAACAAAATTAATCTGATTTACACAAAAACAACATGCAAATTTATTCTTGTGTGTGAATTGCCTTGGAGATGTGAATTTTAATCTGTCATTTTATTATAGTTGATCGACAGATTCATCATCCTTTATAATATTTATGATAGATAAAATCATCATACATTATACAAAATTCTCCCGGGTACAAAATATGAATAAACAAATATTAAGCAACATGCACTCGTGTTAATGTAAACAAAAATAGTAATATAACCTGAAAATCGTCTTGTTTTTTGAAAAATGACATGAAACTATTTGCTTACATAAATATATGTTCCCAGTTGTTAAAAACTTGTTAAATTCTGTTGTTTAGAAATTTTTGACTGAATATTTTCAAATTAACACAAATAAATTTCACCAAATATTATAAATAAACAATGGAAATGAATTAAAAACAAAACAAAACTTTTCTTATTTTCATCTACATGAGACTACTAAAACTTCATCTTCATAACAATTCTACGAACTAAAAGAAACAAATGAAATAGAAATTATAAAAAAATACCAGAGAGCGAAAATTCTATCCAATAAGTCGACAAACAAGTAAAAACAGAATTGACAGTACCAATTTTTAGTCATTAATTACAAGTTAACGGTGTTTGAGACTGGAATGATCACATGGCGACAGCCCCGTGCCATCAAGTACACACAAGGCTGGAAGTATTAAGATCAAAAGTAAAGGAAATATTGCAATTCAAAGATACCGTTACAATAAAACAGTTAGTTAATGGGTGCAATGACTTAGTTTTATGTTCGCGTAATAGGCTGGGTTACATGCACTCGTATATACTGTTTTGACAGAAACTTTTCCCTGTTGATTAGGTGTAAAATACCCCCTCGAGAAACACATTTCCAACAAAGATAGTTTCTTTACAAACTACTCAAATAAACCTGGTATACAAATTTTCTTCTGAAGTATTTCGTTAAGAATTTGGGTTTGACAG